CTCAAGGCCTACAAGGGAGATTGCATGGTAGCTATACAAAGCAAAGCATGGATGACCCAAATGACCCAAAACAGACCTTAAGCACACTAAAACATGCATAAAAGCTTCACAAAGCTAAGCCAAAACAAGTAAGCATAGTGGTCTAAATGCTAAGCACATGTTAAGGCAATTCATGGCATTACAAGACAAGTATGCATAGCAAGCATGGTGTGTCTAAACCAAGTAAAAATAGTGCTATATCATGGAAAAATAAGCACAAACAACACTTAAGACGTGGCCAACACGAACTTAAAAATGGTGCTCGCACATGAGGCTAAAATGGTACTTTTTGAAGACAACAAGGAGAGGGGATGGCCCTCTCCTTCTTAGGACCTTAAACCACCATCCTCACCACTGAAATCCCTCAAGATTTTAGTGGTGAGGAGGCTCAAACAAGATGGTCCCAAAGCTCACCAAAAATAGCACAAAATGGGGCCAAACAAGGCCTAAGAGGGGGAAACGATCCCAAACACAAAAGTGACCTTAATGAAGTATCTTAAACACAAAAAAAATAGAACTTTTTTGTGTTATATACGAAGCTCAAAACAGCAAGAAAGATAGGCTAAAAGTGTGTGCAAAAACGGAGAATAAAGAGGAAAAAGGAGTTACCTTTGTAGCCAAAAGGGGACAGCAGCCTCTTGGTCCAAAAAACAGTCCTTTAGCCTCTGAGAATGGCCTCCAAGCTCCATAGGTTGATGGTGGAGGTGTTAGGCCAAGAGTTGTAGTGTAAATGTGCAAGAACTAGACCCTTTTGAACCCTCTAACCCACACAAATGTAGAGAGAGAGGGAGATATAGAGAGGGAGTGGTATATATCCTATATATCATATTTTTCTAACCCTTTAAAGGGGAGGAGAGGCCCTCTTTTTATAGAGAAACCAAGGGGGCAAAGCTTCTCTTGGAAGCTTAGAGTAAAAGGGTCAAGCTTCTTGGAGAAGCTAGGCAAAAGGGGTCAAGAGGTTCAAGCTTCTTCAAGATGCTAAAAAAGGATCAAGCTTCTTGGAGAAGCTAAAAAAGGGTCAAGCTTCTTGGAGAAGCTAAAAAGGTTCAAGCTTCCTCAAGAAGCTAAAAAGGTTTAAAAGGGTCAAGCTCCCTCAAGAAAAGGTCTCAGCCAGGAAAAGTGGCCGATTGATCAGAAACAGTGGCCGGCCGACCAAACACAATGCTGGCCGACCATCAATAGTGCTGACCGGCCATCACCAATGGCCGGTGGCAAGGAAACAAGGCCGGTTGCCTCAAACCATGGCCGGTGAGGTGTGGGGATGGCCTACAAGCTACTTCCCATCCTCAGAAGCAAAACCACAAGTGTTTGATGCAAAACCAAACACAAAACAAACAAGTCGAGAGGTCTTGAGGTATAGCGCGTAGGCGAAACCTCCGCGAACTCAAGACGAACACAAACAAGGGTAGTCATTGAGTGTTCAAACAATGACGTCCAAGTCTTAAGGATGGTCAAAAATGGGGTGTCTACAGTAACTATGCAATATGGCTAATGCAACACATGCGATATGCAATTACTAGGCTCGACTACTAATATGGCATATGAATCAATTCGATAGCATGCGGTCTAAGCACGTATTCAAAGAATGCTTTACTAACAATGCAAGTTAGAATGATGAACCGAGTCTCGGTGCATGCAATACAAATATATGTAAACATGAAGCATGCTAAACAAAACATGATACCCTAAACTAACCATCATAAGCTAGTAAATAAAAGGGAGAAAGAAGTGGGGTTGGAAGACATACACATTATAACATTGTGCCTTCACAAAGGAGAGTCCGAATGAACTAACTAGCTAAACTAATTAAAGCTAAGCTAATTAATTAACTATTACAAATTCAAATGAATAATTAGCTAAACTACTTAAGTAATTATTACAAGCACAACGAACTAATTAATTAACTAATCTAGCCAATTAAAATAACACAAAACAAATTAGCTATTCTAATTAATTAATTACAAAACCTCTATGTTAAGCACAACACTAACATATTTACAACACGGGTCCCAAGGATCGATGGAGCGCTCATGCATGAACACGATTTCCACCTGAAAAAGCCACTGTTTCTGCTGCTAAATGCCTTTGTTTGTACAGTAGGACACTGGCATTGATTTCTACCTCCAAACCAGCTATGTTCTGTTGGGGGAGTACACTGCTGGATTTTGCATTGGTGGCCGGCAGAGGGCCTGCAGTCCACTGAAGATGGTCTGCCGGCCACTACTGACTGGTTTGTCTTGCTGTAACAGAGAGTAAATAGAGCTGAGACAGTGTATTCTCCAGGGTTTGTTTGCACAATTTACCCCTCATTATCATTTGAATAGCTCAAAAGAGTAGCAAACTTCGTTCACAAACCACTAATGGATGCAATTTCATTGCATTATGACTTATGAACCAAAGGGTGCAAGTTCAATAAATGCAATAAAACAAGACTCTCAAAACCACCTCGCCATCATAAAAGATCAAGGGAAGTTGTTGACAATGAATCTCGAACCATTTTCACCACTAATGAGTATGAAACGACTCAAGACTCAAGGGTTCAATTAACGTCCGATTGAACCCAAACCAAATTATTATCATGCATCATTTTTAATCATCAATTTTATTGCTCCATTTTAATTACCAACCATTCTTTAGGCAATTAAGTCCACAAGTGAATTTAAGTCCTCCAATGGAAAGAGGGCTCAAACCAAGTGTAGTTTTGGGTATGAAAGAGACATCATACCGTTGGTAATGAACCCCCAAAGGGATTAAACCGTTAAGCATGACATCTCAATCTCATGCTTAAATAAATAAGTAGTTTGAAACCACTTTCAAAGAAAATGAAAAGCCAAGAAAGGAGGGAGGTTGCAGAGGTGATTAAGAGTGATCACAAGTGTGGAAAGCCATAAATAAACACTATCAATTCAAATAAGATGGTGTCTAAGGCCTAAAACACCAAACTCATGAGGACAATTATACTACAAGCATGCAATATAAGGCTCAAATGCAACAAACATTTAAAAATAGTCCTAAAATAGTTCTAAAATAGTCCTAAATAAGTCCTAAAACATGCTGGAATTAAGGCAAAAATAGCTAAAATAATAAGCTAAAACATGGAGCATGCTAGGCTAGTAAGCAAAACACAAGGAGGGAAGGCTAGCCCCTCCAATTTTGGGCTTCAAACCACGATTTTAGCCCTTGAAATAACTCTGAAAATCAGTGTTTAAAATCTCAAAAAAAGATAGTGCAAATGTGGGAAACACAAGGGTAAAGGCCTTGAAAGCAAGGTGTAAAGAAGGGTGAACCACCCCTTAACCTTTGGTGACCTTAAAACCCAAGTTTCAATCCAAGAATACAGAGTTTTTATATCCCAAAAATAGTTGGAAAATAGTATAAAAAAAAAGGTAGATACAACAAGTATAGAGGCAAAGCTTTATACCTCTTGAAGAGGATATCACTTCCAAGCAATAAAACAAGGCAAACACACCTTCAAGAGCTCAAACAAGGATCAAGGATACCTTAGCTCAATGATGAAGAGATTTGGTTAAGAGTGTATAGGCAAAGGTGAAGAGTGTATAGGCAAAGGTTGAGAAATTTGCCAGAGAGAGAGAAAGAGAGAGGGGGAAAATTTTGCTCCAAAATTTTTCTAATCCTAAAGCAAGAGGGGAGGCCATCTATATATAGAGAAACATGAATCTCCCTCATAAACATCAGCCATACACGTGGGACAGATGCAAGCTTCTATGCAAACAGCTAGCACAGTTGTCACAAAATATCTACAAAAGATATTGGTGGCCGGCCGGCCATCACTGGTGGTTGGCATGCCACATCGATGGCCGGCAACCAAGAGCAATGGCTGGCAACCTATTACAGTGGCCAGCAGGCCACCAGGGGTTGCAGGCTTAAAAAACCAAGGTTTTGGTTCAAAACAAGGCAACAGGGGTGTAAGGTTGGGATTTAGAAGCTCTTCTTGCTGAAAAAATTGAGCGATTGTACAACATCACTTTCATCATCGAGTGATCAATCAATGGCGCCCAAGTCTTAAGGGCGGTCAAAAAATGGTGTCTACAATTGGGTAGTTTCTCTCATGAGTCTTTAGTTGGTGTAAGGCATAAGCAATGACTTTTCCATTTTGCATAAGAACGCAACCCAAACCATTATATGAGGCATCACTATAAATGACGAACCCATCTGTTCCCACGGGAAGTGCTAATATAGAAGCTGACACCAGTCTATTTTTTTAACTCTTGGAAGCAATGCTCCTGTTTGTTAGTCCATTCAAAGGATAAGTGTTCTTTTGAGTTAGTTGGGTCAAGGGTGATGCTATCTTCAAGAAATCTTGCACGAAGCGTCGATAATAACCAGCTAGACCCAAGAAACTTCAAATTTTTGACACATTAGTAGGTCGTGACCAGTCTACAATTGCTGCAACTTTTTTGGGGTCAACCGAGATGCCATCCTTGCTAATGGTATGACTAAGGAAGTGTATACTAGTGATCCAGAATTCGCATTTCTTCAACTTGGCATAAAGTTTGTGATCACGTAGTGTTTGGAGAATCATTCGCAAGTGCTGCTCATGGGCCTCTGGTGACTTGGAGTATATGAGGATGTCGTCAATGAAGACGATGAAGAACTCATCAAGATAGGGTTTGAATACTCGGTTCATGAGGTCCATGAAAGCTGCTGGAGTATTTGTGATGCCAAAAGGCATGACAAGAAACTCGTAATGCCCATAATGAGTTTTGAAGGCAGGCTTTTAGATGCTTTCCGTTTTGACTTTTAGTTGATGATAGCCAGAATGCAAGTCGATTTTTTAGAATACTTGGGCGCCTTGAAGTTGATCAAACAAGTCATCGATTCACGGTAGAGGGTACCGATTCTTAATGGTGACCTTGTTCAGCTCCCAGTAATCAATGCATGACCTCATTGTGCCATCCTTTTTCTTCACGAACAATACTGAAGCTCCCCAAGGTGAGGTACTAGGTTGAATGAAGCCTTTTGTCCAGTAGTTCCAGGAGTTGAGTCTTCATCTCTTTCAATTTTGCCATCGACATGCAATAAGGAGCTTTCGATATTGGTTCTGTGCCAGGTTGGGTTTCAATGGTGAATTCGATTTCCCGATCAACAGGGATACCAGGTAGATCTTCAGGAAAGATATCCAAGAATTCTTGAACCACGGGGATTGCATCAACGGTGGGGGCCTCTTTTTGTGTATCGATCACATAACAAATATAACTACAACAACCCTTTCTTAGAAGTCGTTGGGCTATCATGGAGGATATAATACAGGGAGGGTTGGAAACTCCAGTCCCATCAAAGGCAAGCTCGAGTTGGTTTGGTAACCTGAGAGAGACCTTTTTGGCTTTACAATCGATAAAGGCATGGTTGACAGCCAGCCAATCCATCTCTAAGATTACATCAACGTTCCCAATGCAGATGGGAATCAAGTCTACATACAAGGTTTTTCCTTTTAAGGATATAGTACATGATCTGTACACCTCAGTACTACAGACAGACATACCAAAAGGAAAAGACACAGACAATATATATCCTAAGGGTTCGGGTGTTGATGCCAACTTAGCTGCAAAGTGTGGTGCAACGAAAGAATGAGTTGACCTAGAGTCAATGAGGACGTGAGTTCAATGACCATAGACAGAAAGTATACCTGACACAACGTTTTCGGTAACTTCTGGTTTTCCAGGTACCAAGGCAAAAGCCCTTCCTTGGCGTTTTTGGTCCTTCCTCTCTCCTCCAGGTCCTACGGGTTTTCTGACTAGGCCAGAGAGGCTGGTTGTAGGATTGGTCAACTTTGGACAATCCCGCAGCAAGTGGCCAACTTGACCACATTTAAAGCATGCTCCCGTATCTCGATGGCATTGTCCCCAATGAGCCCTTCCACACGTAGGGAAAATTGGAATGGTGCCACCTCTAGGGTTAGTGGAACCTTGATTACCTGAGTTGGTTGTGCCCGTATTCACTCTCTTGGTAGGCGCAACACTGGGTCTTCTGTTGTCTCTTTCCCAAAATCACTTATTTTGGCTTGGTTCCTTAGAACGGGAGGCTTTAATTCCTTTTTCTGCAATGTACGCTCAGTCTACCACTTCTACATGGGTTGACAGTTTCAAAACCTCAAGCCTGTCTTTGATTTCAGCATCCAATCCTACTTCAAATTTTCTTGCCTTTCGAGCTTCGGTGGGGATGACATATGTCGTAAACCGAGCGAGTTGTGTGAACTTGCTTGCGTATTCGGCCACCATCATGGTTCCTTGCTTTAGATATATGAGTTCCAATGCTTTCTGTTCCCGCAATGAATCTGGGAAGTATTTTTCATAAAATACTTCCAAGAATCTTGCCCAAGTTGCAATTTCTTCTTTCTCCAGAGTGAGAAGCCACCATTCTTGCGCATTATCTTTGAAAGTGAAAGTGGTGAAAGTTACTTTTTGTCTTTTAGTGCAGGGTAAAACGCGAAAAATCTTTTCCATGTCTTTAACCCAAGCGTCCTCTACCATTGGATCTAGACCGTCGATAAATGTGATGGGTTTCAGATCTTGGAACTATTTTATGGTAATCGTCTCTTCTCACCGTTCCGGCATCCCATTGTTGATGTTAGTCTGCAAGGCTTGCAAAAAGCTAGTAACCGCTCTTTCCATGATTCTTTCCATCGACTCAGTGCCACTAACTGATGACTCGCTTCCGTTACCATTATTGGCCATTCTACAAAGTAATAAACGAGACATTACATTCATAATGCAGCATATATATTGCATATTTAAAATGCCAACTTTGCTATTTTTACAAATATAATATTACATCGTTGTTCCAAAAAAAAATCAAAAAATTGTCTTAGTGTGTAACGCCCCCAAAATAATACAATAAGGATAACTCATATGCGGAATAAATATGAGAAACAGCATACTTTTATACATCAGAGTTTACTGTTTAACAACCAATTAAATGCCATACAGGCTTACATCTTTCCAAGTCATTGCTTGGTTACACAAATTGAGTCTCGCTCATTACATCTTAAGCCCTCGGCTTTACAAATAACAAGCATACACACATAAGGAATAAATAAGAAGCTCTTGCTTCCTGAAAGTCCATCCATGCTATTGCCTTGGAGGAAACATCTCACCTGCACCTCAAAATGATATTCCCATATAGGGTAAGCCAACAGCCCAGTAGAGATAATCTAACACAATATATGAGGTTTAGCAAAGGTATAAATACCACGTATATAAACAATACCAATATGGAGCATCCACAAGGCCTGCATATCCATATGCCACTAAGGCCAATCTTATTTCGTTTTTCTTCAATTCATTTCCAATTCATATAGGCTACTCAATTCATGAGTTAAATTCATTATCCTTCAACACCCAAAATGAGACTACAACTCCATGGTTTTCCAATTATACAAAACACACCGAAACACTTCAAATCTGCCATTTTACGGAAATTTCATCCGCGAGAATCGGCACCCGTGTATATTTTCTCAAATATGCCATTTTACGAAAATTTCGTCTGAAGGAATCGGCACCCATTTATATATAAAATTTCGGGTTTTTCACCCAGGACACTCCAGCCAACTTGCTTTAAATGGAGTCCATCCCCTTTTCCCTCCCAAACAAATATACATACGCAATGTATTTATAAACAAAATCACATATGGAGTACATCCCCTATCTCCTCCTAATAAACATACATATACAATGTATTTAAAAACATAATCACATATGGAGTACATCCCCTATCTTTTCCCAATAAACATACATATACAATGTATTTAAACACATTATCATATACAATGATCAATTATAGCACATATTCAATGTGTTAATCCAACCGTCATATTCAATGACATAATTCAGTTGATTAGTTTCAATTTACCTAATCATCATGCAGTTCTACAACAATCATGGCTATCCTCCACCGATAGCCCAAAACAATTATCACTAAACAGGTAAATAAATCTATCAGCAGATAAATTATTACATCTTCCATAGGTGAGTGATTTATCAATCCAACTACACCATTCAATTACATTTCCACCCAATTTCATCATTTCCAATCCAATTATATATTCCCATAATTAATTTCATTATTTTGACAAACAATTCATTTAATCCCAATTAGGGCATTTTTCCCCCTCTTTCTAAATATCAACCCAAACACCAAAATTAACTATTTTGGCACAACATGATTACATATTCAAGCCTCATACTCATTTACCTTTCATTCACCAAATACCCCTCCTTTCATTCACATCCAAATCCTAGATTTGTCCAAACCACAACCATATCTCATCATCTATACACAATAGCAAATAACTAAGCTAAAAACCATATTAGAGTGTAGAAATTCCCTACCTCAAGCCATGAAGAGGAGCTAATTTGAAAATGCAGACACCACCCGATTATGGATCCGAGATCATCATTGTGAAAATCACAACATGCCCTCCGACTTTCAATATGATTCCTCAAACCTCACCTCATGTAAACCCACGTGCTTCGGGCCCCACCAGAGCCATTCAAAAAAAAAAAACAAACCAATTTTGAATCACCACAAGAGGCAGCAACACGTAATCAACTAGCTAGCATGGGTGGCCTACTAACAACCACGCCCACGTGGTGGCCCTTCTATTGTAGTAACAGTGTTCCCAAATGGGATGGAAAAATTGTAAATCAACTCAAAAATATATATATAAATATAAAGATAAGGGATATCCTCGGGGCAGCCCATGTGCTATTATCATCATACCTTAACTTGCTTTAGCCTCAAAGCATCACAATCTATATGTATAACTGAGGCGCACCCATGTGAACTCCTCTTCCCATTGGCCAAGCACCCTCATCAACTCACACTTATCAACCAAGGACGTAGGTCAAACCCACTTCTTCATTATCAATTTTTTTTTAAAATCCCTCCAATTCTCGACCAAAGAAAACACAGCTGTAAGCAACATTAACAACACTGTTGCTACAGGAGCACATCCAGCCATCAACCTCGCCAAGAGCCCACGCGAAGAAGCGTGAGTCCACGCAGCATCCAGAACAAGTGCATGGGATGTGAAGCACACGCTACTCTTTAGCATGACCATCGCCAGCGTAGCTATAACGCCCTCAAAATAATACATAAAACCCATCACTTTAGACATGCATTAATATAAAAGAAACCAACCATTTATGTTCATCAGAGTAGTTCTTACAACCGTATTACATGTTAACAACAAAAGCAAATGCCCTATGGGCTTACAGCTTTCCAAGTCAACACTTGGTTACACAAAAGAAGAGTACTAACTCTATACAAGATAAGCCCTTGGCTTGATATACATGTAATACACACAAAATAAACAAAAAAAAAAGAGTCTTCAACTCTCATCATCATCCAAGCTATGTCCTTGGAGGTGGCATACAACCTGTACTTGAAAATAATGTCCCATAAAGGGTGAGCCAACGCCCAGTAGAGATATGGTAAACACAGTATGAGCAATAACTAAGACATTAGCAATTGATAAATGTTCAATTTCCATAAATTAATTCATACCCCATTTCATTTCATGACCACTATGTTCATGTTTCATTTCAGTTTCCATTTCTTATCAATTTCACCATTTACATCAACGGCTCAGAACCTGGCCAACCACTTATATGAGACAGTGACTCATATTAAACGTTTCCCATTTCACAATAGATAAACATACTAGTTGTATCAACATCTCAACAGATAAGCATACAAGTTGTATCCACATTTCAACAGATATGCATATTAGCTATATCAACACTTCCAAAGATAAGCATATGAGCTGTATCAACACTTCCATAGATAAGCATATGAGCTGTATCAACACTTCCATAGATAAGCATATAAGCTATATCAACACGTTAACTGACAAGCATATGAGCTGTATCAGTGGAGTCCATCCCCTATCTCCTCCCAAACAACATCCGGTTTAGAGGTCCATCCCCTATCTTCCCCTAAACCGTGGAGTACATCCCCTATCTCCTCTCATACAACACAATGTATATAAACACATATCATATACACAATCAATACACAATCAATCAATACATAACGTTAATGTATTCTATCAACCGTTATACTGTATGACATATCCAATTGATTAGTTTTACATCATGCATTGTCTACAACAATCAAAACTACCCTCCACCGGTAGCCCAAGCAATTATTTCTAAACAGATAATAAAAGCTCCAACAGATAAAATATCAATGTTTTCAAAAGTGAGCGATTAATAAATCCAACTCCACTATTCTACTATATAATGAGCCAATTTCATTATTTCCAACTCAATTCCATATGACCAAAATTTTTCCAAATTAATCATACCAATTAATTTATACAACCAATTAGGGTTTTCTACCCCATTTCCCAATATTGACCCAAAGGTCTATATATCAACAACCAAAAACAATATCATTATTTTGAAACCCACAATACACAATTTAGAATCAAAACAACAAAACCCTCTTTTGATATTTTGAAACCCTAAGTCCCAAAATTACCCAACTTCAACACTTTATCAAAACCACCAAAATCTATGTCAAAGACCATAAGAGTGAATAGGAATCCCTACCTCAAACGATGACACCCAAAGAAGAAGATGACGAAAACGAAGTTGCTCCAAATCACAAGTTTCTCGGATCAAAATGTAGCCCTCGACGATCAACACAACTTTTACAAAGGCCAAAGGGGAGGGAAGCACTCTAACTAGATCAAACCCTAGAGAGAAGGGAGTTTCTAGAGAGAGAGGCTCTCAAAAACGTTTTTGGGAAAGTAAGAGAGAGAGAGAAAGTGTAAGAAATGATTCAAAAATGCCCAGTTACCCTCTGTTATACGACATTCCCGCTCGAGCGGAAAACACAACGCTCGAGCGTCAAGAACAAAAAATTAGGTCCGCTCGAGCGCAAGAAGGGCCGCTCGAGCACCAAGACACAAGAATAAAGTACATTCACTCGAGCGCGAAAACCAGTCCGCTCGAGCGTAGATTTTCATCTCTCAGAACTTTCACCAACGAGGTACTACCCGCTCAAGCGCCAACAAGCCCGCTCGAGCTCAACCCGCTCGAGCGCAAGAAACCCGCTCGAGCGTAGAAAACATACCTACAGAAGTTTTGCAGGGACTCGAAATGCTGAAAGGGTGTAAACCCCGCTCAAGCGCAAAATGACCCGCTTGAGCGGACCACTCAAAAACTGGGCAACAGCAATGGGAGCCAAAGCTCTACCAACCTGTAACAACCAAGCCCAACACATCCTAAAACTCAATCAAATGGAATTAAAGGACTACAACAAGATAGTCACAACTACCAATTCCACGGAACCGAGTCCGGAATGCAACAGAACAGTAAAGGGAATCCCGAAATTGCTATAGTAGCACCGACGACAGCATACAGAACCAGAATACTGTGACCCCAGCAATAACAGCATGGTGAAACAGATCGGCAGAGATCAATTATGCACTGTAAAACCACTAAATCAGAACCCAAACCAGGTCAAACCCAGAAGGCCAATCTGTTAGCCGTCGCCGGAGGAGATTCAAACTTGCCAAGACAAGACCCTTGCCTGAATAGACCAGCCCCAGAAATGACGCAACCCACTCCCGGAGCACCAACAGATCACTGCTTTAGCTCCATCGTAACCTTTATTCTTAATCATCATACTTAGCAATGTCATTGTACCACATGCTGCTTATAATAAA